ATAGTATATTTTCTCATTCCATATAAAACCTAAATCCACATCTTATTACTTTTGTTGGTTGATTTTTAGTTTTAATTTGCAATGACTTAAATACTTATGGCAGAGAGAATTTTCTTATGATTGTTTAAATTCTAAAATAGTATGTCGTTATTATAGAAAGACATGTTGCTATTGTGGAACTAATATGACACGATGTTTATGTTTTTAGGAAATTAAAATATTCTCTTTTTTTTTGTTATTTTATTATGTGAGTCTATGGTCCTTAACCGATCTAATCAGTGCTTAAATGAATTTGTTCGGATTAATTTCATGATTTAAACGGATTGGATTGGTTCTAATTTTTCAAGAACCATAGATAACGGATTGGTCTTAGTTTTATCCCAATCCAAATCAATCCCAACCATGCTCAACCCTAGTGAGCATCATAGCATTTCTTTACTTAAGCTGCTGTTTGGCAAGTGGGTTTGGAGTGGGTGAGGATAAAATGTCATATCCAATCCATGATCATTTCACTTTTTTCTCAAAAAAAAAATAATAATAATAAATTAAAAAAAATCTCAAATAGAACTAATTTAACGCAACTAAATCAACTATATAAAAAAAAAAAAAATCAGACTAAGAAAGTTCTTCATAAACGAACCTTCCCAAAATTATTAATTTGTCGAGAGGAGAAAATAGTTCATGCCTATACTTTGAACGCAATAATCTTCTTGATCAATACTTAAACTTGTAGTTGTGATGCATTGGGCGTTTTAAACCATAATACAATTGATTTCTAATTTTAAATCTTATTTATGTAATTAGTAGTAAATTCATTGCCCTAATTTTTTTTCAAAAATCAGTACCTCAGATGTTATTTTTAATTGTGAATTCAATTTCTTTTCATAAGCCTTCTATGAACTATCAATCTTGTTATCAATTTAGAAATGTAACAATTAAATTAGTTTAATTTTAAATTTGGATCGATACCTAAATTTGTTGTTATTCTAAAGAATTTAAGGCCTTATTTGGAAATATGTTTTTTTAGTATTTTTTTGACTTTTTGACTAAAATATGAGATAAAAAAATAGTATATTTGAGATGACTTTTTAATTTTTTAAGAAGACATATAAAAACTGGAGAGAAAAGAACATTTTGACTTTTTGATATATGTTAGTATATTCTTTTTGGTTTTTTTGATAAGTTTTTGACTTTAAAGCTAAAATAATAAGTTGCCAAACGAGGCCTAAGTATAGTTTAATGTTTTATTTTTTGCGTGCAAAATGACCGATCATGCCTCGTTTGGGAACATGCTAATTTAGTAACTTTTTGACTATTTGGCTAAAATATGAGCTAAAAAAAACTAGTATGTTTGGGATGACTTTTTTACTTTTTACGAAAAGATGTGCAAAAAGTAGAGAGAAAATATAATCTTTGGCTCCGTTTGGTTAGGGTTTCAAATTATAGTTTCACCCATTGATTTGAGTGCATTGTTTGTTTTGAGTTTTCAAATCATAATTCTACACATATTTCTCAAAACTCAATTCAAAACATAATCATTACTTTTCAAAACTCATAACCAAACACATAATTCAAATTAATATTTTAATTTTTTTAATATTTTTAATATTTAAATATTTTAAAGATATTTTAATTTTGTTAAGATTTTAAATATTTTAATATTTAAATATGATTTGATTCTTTTTAATTTTTTAATTTTTTGAATATTTTTAAATATTTTAATTTCAAAATATTACGATTTTAATTTTTTAAATTTTAAAATATTTTATAAAAATAAATTCAAACCCTATTTTATAAAAATATTTTTAAATATTTTAATTTTTTTGTTTGTATTTGGATACGATTTGAGTGTAGAGTTGTAAAAGTAGTATGGAGTTTCGAGTTATGTGTTTGGTTATGAATTTTAAAAATAATTTCTTAATTGAGTTTTGTTTTATGTGTTTGGTTACGATTTGAGTGTAGAGTTGTTTTTAAATTTAAAA